CCAGTCATGCCAGCAACACCCATCCCTAAGTACTGCTCATCTGGCAGCATTTGGTTCAGATGAGGGATTTAAGGCAGGCCCCCACTGCTCTGTGGAGGCAGTCTGGCCCTCACACCACCAGCAGTGGCTGCCCCTGTGCAGGGGCAGCTTTCTCAGGATTTGGCCTTTCTCTACAACAGAGCAGAACACCACTGAAGCCATGGAACCTTTTCCCTTACAGATGGTTCATAAAAATCTATTTTAAGTAACTTAAATTATTATAGCTATTTCCAAATAACAGGGTAGCTACTTAAAAAATAGGAAAGGCAGAAGGCTTCCCTTCCATTAGCACACTGCAGAGTCAGGCTGGTGCACCCCAGCCCCAGCCTGGGTCTCCACACTGGCTGGCTGGTGTTGCTTTATGACCTGCCTCGATTGCACATCATCAGCCTGCAGCAGAAAGCCACAGACTGATCCCTTCCCAAGCTTACACCACCAATTTCAAAACCTGTTAATAAATCAATTTGAAAAAATCAGACTTCTCTGCCTAGCAAAGAAACTCCTACACTCCTCAACATGAAACTCCACTGGGAGTGCAGAACAGGAACAAATTGTTTCCTTTTCCTAAGGAGAGGCCAGCTTAACTAGTGAAAAGGTAACGGGGAGCTCAGAAGGAAAATTCACCCATCTTGCTGTTATTCCAGGTGTTTAGGTAGAGCAATTGCTGTGTGTGTATCACAGCCAGAGCTGCACTGCCCTGCTGCAGTGCTCTGCCAGAGCAGAGCTCAGAGCCCTGAGCACTTGGTAGCTCACAGCAACCTGCTCCAGGCAGGGAGGGAGGCAGGCCACAGCTGCCAGGGCTGAGCTACAGCAAAAACGAGCTGTTTCTGCTGGTTTCCAGCTGCACAGGCCAGGCCAGAGCCCCAGCAGGGCAGGCACAGCACGGATGGAGCAGGGACAGGGGCACACGTGCCAGCCCGGGGCACAGAGGGACCAGCACCTCCCCAGGACCTGCCAGCACGGGGCCCTGTGGCCGTGCAGGAACTGCTGTGGGACCAGCTGGGGAACAGAGCACCTCCTGCCAGACATCCTGGCAAGGAGCACGCTGGAGGAGCTGTGCCCTGCCAGACATCCTGGCAAGGAGCACGCTGGAGGAGCTGTGCCCTGCCAGACATCCTGGCAAGGAGCACGCTGGAGGAGCTGTGCCCTTCTGAACCTGCACACCGCCTGCTGCACTAACACACCACAATGCAAGTGCATTGCAGCCACATCTTCCCTCTGCAGGTAAATCATTAACCTTCCAGATGACACCTCACAAACCAACTGACTGAAGGATTCCAGGGTCAGTGTGAATCTACGTTTCCAAAACCTCACATCAACAAGTGAAGGCTGTGACTCAATCCCGGTCTCTCCAAGAGGAAGATTAAATGCCTGTGACACATCATCTGCAATCAGAGTGCTCCTTTCCCCAAAGTATCCGTCACAGATTGATAACATCCACACAAAAAGTTAAGTGCAATTATGTCTGTCACTGTCACACACACTTCGGCAGCACTGACTGACATCTTGCTTGCAGCTGACAAACTCTGAGCGGCTGCGTGAGTGACGGTGGCACGGGCTCCTGCTGCACCTCGAGGAGGGATGCCACAGCAGCCAGCCAGGCTCATGGAGCACCACGGCAGGGATGGAGCCACCACACAGGCAGCTGCAAGGCAGGATGGCTCTGTGCATACTCACAGCAGTCAGGGACTTGCTGCACAATGCCGGAACCAGATTCCAAGAGAACGTCACCCACAAATCCACCAGAGTCTGAGTGTGGCAGAGCTGAGCCCTGAGACCCTGCTCAAACAAACTGGCAGTCGTGGATGCACAGGCTGGTGAAGCACGGGTGTGCCAAAGGTGGGTGAGTTACCTGCAACCACCACCTCCTTTGGGGAGGATTGCTCCCTGCTCCCCAGAACGACGCTGCCGTGCAGCACAAGCCTCGTGCACGGAGCAGAGGCATGAGGGAAGTTACGTCAAGCTCCCCCATGTAACCCAAGCCCACAAAAGCCATCCTTCAGCAGCAGGATGGGAACCTGCAAGAGCATTTCTTCAGACTGCCATTAGTGCCAAGAAGCTGCTCCAAGAGCTGGGGAGAAAAGACAGGAAAGCAGCTTGATGCCCTGCACAATGGCACGGCCAGGCTCCACGGCACAGCATGCCACCCTCACCAGGCGTGCCAGGGCTGCTGCTGGAGGCACTAAGCCAGATGCCTGGAGAAGAAAACACAAAGGAGAAGAAATGGCTGAAAAATACCATATGAAGTCCAGAACAACTAGCAAGCAAAGCCTTCCCTTGTGCAGCCCTGACTGAGCCACAAGCCTGTGACATGTGTGGCAGGAGCAGCACTGCTGATGTGCACCAGCCTGTGGAGGTCACACCTGATGCATGACAACTCTGTGGTGGCCACCATCCACTGCCACCAGCACCTTACACCAGGGGATAGTGCAGGAAAAATATATCCCACAGGAAAAAGTCCTTCCATTTTAGGTTTAGTTGTACATAGGGGTTTCGTTTATATCCAGTGTTAGCAATTGTTCTGAAGGCCCCTCTTGATTCAGAATTATTCTAAATGCAGACACAACTGAAGAGAGCAGCTGAGACACCTGACCAGCCCAACAGCAGACTCTCCACAGTGCTCTGTGCAGCACTGCTCACCAATGCAGCTTCAGAACAACCCACTGCTGTTCCTGTCAGGATATATCCACATGGAATAAAACAGCAAACTGGCTGCCAGTGCAATCTCCTCTCTCTATGGTGACATGAAAATAAGAGATCACTTGTGACTACAATCTTTCACAAACACTGTGTTGAGTAACTCACCACACTGCTGACAGTGTTAGAAAAGGCCTTCAAGTTGTCTGTGTTCCCTGTAATAATTAAATATTTGCAGGATGCACCTTTATATACATTTCTATTTCTTAAAAAATATATTGGATAATAAATAACCAAAGTAAAAAAACAGACATGAAAGATGCTTTGAATGATCAGGCTGGTGGTGTAAAAGTTACCTGTAAATCACACATGGGGTGTGAGAGTGGAGCTGGCTACAGACAGGTGGGTTTTACTACAAGGCATTAATGCAACATTCAATTATTCCACTGCATACTGGCTGGTTTAACTCAGCCAAATTAGAATACATTTTATATTGACTATTTTGACATTTGCTTTATTTGGCAAGTAAAACAAAACTGATCCAATTTCCTTGCAGCCATTGTAAACCATAAACTGCACAACAAGAGGTTATAAAATATATAAGCCTTGTAAACACTTCTTTTCAGACTGTCACTGATGCTTTGAGCTTAATTTTGGCCTTGTTCCCAACAGCTCTGACACTGCTCTGCAGCCTTCCCTGGTCAGCTGTAAAGTGACCCTTCCACATTCAGTGATGAAGCACTGCCACTGACATTGTCTTGCCATGATAATTTTTTTTTCTTTATTGTGGAAATCTGCCCAGACAGAACTTCTTGCAGAAAGCAAATGAAGATCTGTGCTCTAAAATCAAGACATCTTTCTCTCTGATCTCTCATGGCCTGGGCTGGCATCTAGCTTATGTCCAGCAGAGCTTCAGAGTAACATCTCAGGTCCTAGTGGGACAGGCTGCAATCTGCAGAAAACTGCTGGCTTTTCATCTCTTTTGCCTCCATCTCTGAGAAGCATGACAGCATGTCTGCCTGCAGCACACCTGACAGTACACGACAGCAAGCACTGTGCCAGGGCATGGCAGCCTACCAAGCAAAACTCTCAGTGAAACAAACACCCAAATGCTTTGGAGAGCTCGAAGAGCCACCACAGGACAGTGGATTTCAGTCTGGGTCATGGGTGAAGGCTCAAATGTACACACCTGCCTTAAGGAGGTACCTGACAGCTTGCTGGGGAACGTGTTGCAGCAGTTTAAAAGCATAACTCTGAAATGACCTGTAAATCAAGATTCTAAAGGACATAAGCAATTTCCACCCATGTGATATAATGACCTTTGTACACAAACTGCACCTTGGAACTCCTCTCTACTGTCTCCTTTGAAATTCTCTCTCTCACTATTTACTGTAATACTGTAAAGGTATCTGCAGTGTAGAAAATGCCCAGTGCAAAAACACATGTACATGTGACAGACAAAAGCACAAAGGGACCCGAGGAGAATGTGCTGTCCCCTGGCAACAGCCTGGCCCAGTCTGTGAGCCTCAGCAGCAGGAGCACAATTCACACTGGGTGCTGTGCTTTCGGAGTGAATGTCAGGAGTGCAAAGTTCTCTGTTTCGTCACTGTCTGGGCTGGTTTGTTGCTTAACAACACCTCTTTGTCCAGAGAAATCCAGCAAGTAAGCTGTCAGTGCAGCACTACTGGTATATGAAAGTCTACACACCAGCACATCTGTTGATACACACAGAGAAATATTGCCTGTAACACACGGAGAACAGCCTGGCCAGACACCGCTGCTCCCATCAGCCACCACAAGATGAGCAGGCTGCTGTGCACACTCATGTCAGCTGCACAACTGGAGCTCAGCAACTGGGCTCAAGAAAATAAAAAACCAAGAACCAGTGCTTCAAACCATGAGCAGACTGATCCTGGAGATGAGCAAAATCCATTTCCCTTCTGAAGTCTGTAGAGACACTTCTCCCTCCCTCTGGTGAAGGAGAACAATCGGCCTGGCTGCAGCTCTGCTCACCCTTCCAACACGTATGTGTTGGAAGCTACAACATCCTGCACAGTTTAAAGCAAAGGAAAGGTAGTTTGCTGTTCCCCTTCCTCTGCAGGCATTTCCTTTCTTCTGGCTTCTTCACCCATTTTCCTTTACACAGCAACAGGCAAAGGAACTTCCAGCAGGCAAATACTTCAACCAACAGCACATTCCCTTATCAGATTGTGACACAATCGTTCCATGCCAATGCAGCACCCTGCTCTTGGTTTCCCAGGCAAGGTTAGCAACCACAAGACATGCAGCATCAAGCAGAAGGAGCTGGAATGCAGAAAACCTACCTTGGCAGGTTGGGAGCGGGCGTTGGAGCCGGTGCTTGGGCGGGAGGAGCCGCAGGCTGTGCGGAGTCGTGGTTGCGCGGCACTCTGCCCATCCGATACCAGATACCCATGCTGTTCAGCTCCCTGGGAAAACAACACACAGCACAGGGCTGATGCTGCACACACGCACCAGCACCAGGCCCTGACGTGTTTCACCAACACCTTGGTCAGTGAGAACGAGGGTAATTAAAAAGAAGGAGGGGTGAGTTAACTCCTACATCTAACTCCGTAACACTTGTTCTTACTTGGACTTTTCTAATGATAAGCTTCACCTCTTAGAAGCTACTGCTTGGTAATTAGAGGAGCACAGGGCCCTTGCTTGGGTGTGACTGCATTGTTATAACTTTGTTATAACAGCTGCAGAGTGAGGGGTACTTACCCTATGAAGGTGTACTGAGGAGGGGCTTGCTTAGATCTCCCCAGGATTCGGATATCACAGATCGCTGCCTCTGTAGAATCTCGAGGGATGAATTTAATGCACAGCCTCTTCTTTCTGAAAGCTACTTCTTCTGCAAAAACAACCCAGAATACAGGGTGAGTTTTATGCAAGATTAGAGTATAAATGTTATTTATAGTTCTCCAGGTACTAGGCAGGTAATTGTGGCAGAACCGGTGCCAAAGAACCCACATACGTCAACAAACCAGTCAGTGCAGTGCCATTCAGAGGGGAATGTTCTATCAGATGTGCTACTGGCACTGCAATAACCAGTTCTCCTCCTGCCTGCTGCAGAGATCAGCTCCCACGTGTGCCTGGTGCTGCCCCAGAACAGCAGCTGACTCTGCCAGTTCCACGTTTCTCGCACTCCCTTGCTCTTTCCCAGATAGTGTTTGCCTCGCTGGCCTGGACAGCCGTATTTAAACATTCCTCCCACAAGCACTGCCTCTAGGAATGTACCTGGAAGCTTCTGATACAACCAGTCAGTTCATTCTGCTCCGTGCTTCCAACCAGCCCCTTCCAACCCTCTGTGAGGAGGAGCAGGCAGAGCCTGCCATGCAGAGTGTAAGAGCTGTCTGTCCAAATCTCACACATCCCAAGTGTTAGAGCCATCTCCTGATCAAGTCAGCAGGCACAGAAATGATACTCCCACCACGTTTGCCCTGGTTCTTTGCAAGGACAAACCAGATTCACAAAGCACTAAGTGCCAGAACCTCCCAGGAGGCAGCAGCGCTGCTCTGACCTGTGCTCTGAGGGTGGATGAATGCACTGCACAGCCCTTTCTGCTGTGTGTCACAGAGCAATTGCTTCCATGTTATCCATCACGAAAAACTCAGGCCATCAGAGTTAAGGCTTATCTGTATAATGAATTCACAGCTCTTCAGGCTGATTACCAGCACAAAGACACAATCCACAGCCAGTGCTGGTGCTGTCTGTGACCAGGCTGGCACTGGCAGGAAGACAGAGATTTGCAGTGCTTGGAAAACAATGCTCCATCTCACCCTAAGGAGTCTCAGGGTGAGCAAGGTGAGGCTCCTGCTTGGAAAGCAGGACAGAAGTCTACTGATATACTGAAAATCTAAAGAGCAGACGCTGGAAAAAAATCTGGAAACAACCAGCAACTACAAACAAGTGCCTGCAAAATAAAAACCCTTCATCTTAATGTGAACAAATATCTCCCAACTTAAAATATGCTGTCACTTCAACAGATGGCAAGCAGCCCTGTCTCCATAGGCTCCTCCTGTTTCGTAATCCACACCTTGGGAAACAGCAATCCATTCCAGCCTCTGAAATGTGCTGCTGCACTAGCACAAATAACCATACAGACAGTGTGAGGTGTGCCAACAGAGCATCTGTGCGTGCAGCTTGCAGTTACAGAGGTGTTTTTAGAGATGGTAAATACCTGCATCCCTGAAGTTCAGTCTTCCCCTGCTTTGAAAAAGTAGGGCTTCTGTTTGAAGCACCTAAAACTCATTTTAGGAGTCTGGGATTTAAGGCTTCCTGAAAATCTTCTCAAGACCTACCAAGGAGTACTGTATTAAATGTATTAACTGTGAGTCAGCTGCCATTTTGAGAGGAGCACAGAGACACCTGTAACCATAAATCTAACTCTGAACAAAATCAGTGCCTCTCATTTGACTTTCTATGCAAGTACAAAGCTGACTACTTGCTTTTGTCTGTGTTCTTTCACACCACTTCCTTAGTGCAGGCAGTGCCTCTGCTTCAGACTGTCACAGTCACAACCCAATGCATTTCAAACTCATGGCAAAGCCCCCTTCCACCTTCCCGGCAGGACTTGCACAGAAGTTGAAGCAGCACGCCGTAAGGTCCAGCACTCCCAGGAGTCAGCAGGATAAGCCAGCAATTCCACCTCATACCACACGTGCCCCAGAGTTTTCCAGAAGCAGAGGGTGACCTGGGAGAATAGTCTTCAGAGTCTTTCACTTCCAGGCCACAGGTTCCAATCAGAACCAGATCACAGTGACTGAAAAACCATCCTCCTGTGCTGCAGCCCCAGATGAGTGATTTCCTGCCAAGCAGGTTCATGTAACCCCTTTCTGCTCAATCCTAGGCTGCATTTCATCCCTGACATGCACTGGAACAGCCCTTCTGTGAGGAGCAGCTGCACGCCAGGCACCAGCACCAGTCCTGCCATTCTCACACTCCACTCCCGTGGGGATTGTCCCCTGCCAGCCCAGTGCCCTCGCTGCCTGCTGCACAGCACAGGCCTGCCACCAGACGTGGCTCCAGCTGCTGCTGGCACAGTCCCAGGGGAGCTGAACACACTGTTTGGGAACTGCTCACTCATATACTGCAGTGAAGCAATTCTACCTTGCAGACATGAGCATGATATTCCCCCTGGGCACTGCACTTGTGCCTCGTGTCAGTAAGCACAAAGATACCTGACACCCCTCAGCACTTGCTGGCAGGACTTGTTCTCCCACAGCAGGAGATGTACAGTGGGAAGACACAAACACACACCCCCTTCCTTTCAGTGCATTTCTGAACACCCCTTGGCACAGTAGCTCTGCTCCTGCTAGGCCCAGGCCACTCTTCAAACTGACAAAAGAAACTCTCCCTTCCTGCCCCAGAGACATGGGACTCTAGCAGGCGAGTGAAGACAGACAGGCACCCCACTAAACAGTCTGAGGAGGGCAAGAAAACCAAAGGCTGTTTTATTGCAGCCCAGAGCTGCCCCTAAATGTGCACATGCCACCCCAGAGAGAAGAAATGCCAGGAGCAACCCTCTGCCAGCGACATGGCCCTCCATGGCCAGGGACACAGCCTTCTGTGAGCTGGGACATTGCTCTTTGTCACCTGGGACGTGGCCCTCCATGGCCAGGGACACAGCCTTCTGTGAGCTGGGACATTGCTCTTTGTCACCTGGGACGTGGCCCTCCATGGCCTGACCACAGAAGCACTGGCAGAGTGGGACTGGGGACCAGATGTCAACTTACGTGTATCAATGGTCTCCTGGATGGGCATGAAGCCTACAGGCAAAGTGTCCTTGATATCAATGAGCTTCATGTCGACCAAGACGTTGCCCAAATGACTCTTTGGAGAGAGAAAAGAAACAGTTGATTATGACAATGTCACCAAATTAAACCCCAGATCTTCCTACCTGCTGAAGCCTGAGGTGCCTTGTCATTGTATCTGACCACTGCTTTAGGAATGGTAAGAAGGTACCAAGGCAACCCTTGCATGTGTCCTCTCGGCAGGAAACAAACAATGACTGGCTAGGAGACACCAGACAACTTCCAGCATTTAGAATTCTAACACCTCATCCACTGCCATATTTCCAGATCTTTGGAAGCACAGCCAAATTCTTTCTTTTGCAGGCACAGCAGCTTGAAGTACCAATTTCACCAACCCATCCACTGAGCAGGTCGCCTCAGTTCTTACACACTCTACATTTACAAGAGCAACATGACATTTCCATCACAGCAACAGCAAAAAGCATTACAGGATGATGGCTTATGCAAACAGAGCCAAAGTTATTACATGCATTAGTTAATTAGTGCTGAATAGACAGGGTTCTAGCTCCAAATGCAGCGCACTCCAGAAGCACAGGCCATTTGGAACAACAAACTTCATTTAGAGTCCATATGAATTCTGAGCTCATGCCTTGTCCTATTAATCAAGGCTTGAAGAGCTCAGAGCCCAATTCAGAGTGACAGCCTCCACAATGGTTTAGAGACCAGATTTTCTTTGCAGTTTTCGATAAAACCAGCACTGCTGCCAGTAATCTGGGGTCACATATGAAAGAACACATTTTAGGTACTGCACAGCCTTTATAAACAGAAACACAACACAGAACAATTAAAATTTAATCCCAAGCTATCAAACTGTGTCACTGAGTTTTACTGTTACTGCTTGCAAAGCACGTCCTTTAGTTTTTATCTGGCAAGGGTTTCTCAGACAAACCTGCACTCTCTGATTGTTTCACTGAACTTCTTACAAAATATTTAAATCTGCAGGCCGTGAAATAAGGAGAGGTCAGGTGTGAGTTTATTTTTGGGAGGTCCTGCCTTTTCTGGTCAGCTCCCCACCAAAGGGCCAGCAGCCCTGCAGCCCTGTCCCACCAGACACAAGTGTGGCACACATCCTCTGCTCTGTGAAGAGGCCAAAGCCACATGCCCCTGCCTGTCCGTGTCCAGGGCATCTTGGAGCAAGCAATGCTGGATGCTGCCGAGCCTGAATGTGTCACTTAACATGCTCCTGGCACAGCAAACAGCAGACAAAGTAGTTGCTGCTGATTCATCTTTCATGTTTTATTTATTTAAGCTGTCTGTGCGTTACATCAGTGGCAACTTTCTGATGAGCCACCAACCACTCCTCAATCAGCAGCAGACAGGCAGGAGAGGTGTCTCCAATGAGCTGGTTAGCTGCTGGAACCCTGGGAGTCAGCTCTGTGCACAGCAGAAGAGGGGACAAAGCCCCCCAGCTATGGCCCCACCATCCAGGGCCTCCCCACTCTCAGATACAGCAGTGTCAGATGCTGTAAACTGCTGAGAAGGATGATTCTGCTGAACAGGCTCTGCAGACCGACTCTGCTCTAACCCAGATACCTGAAGTGCATTAACTCTACTAACTATAACACTGTTCTTCAGGAGAAAAGAGTTCCCAGCATTTTCATGAACACAAAAGGAAACCCCGAATGGCAAAACTTCCAACCCAAAGAGCAGCAACACATCAGTGTCCAGGGGAGAGAGAGGAGCCTCTCACCTCCCTTCCTCCCAGCTGAGGGAACTGAGGCCCCATAGCCCCCAGATGCCCCCGACAGGGAAGCACATCATACATCCCATGTGGCCAAGAGGACTGAGGGAAGGGGAAACTTTTGCTTTAATTTATGTCTCATCAATATGAAGAAGGTACTTCCAAATCATGGTGACCCCAGGGCTCCTGCCAAAAGTCCAACAGGCACCTCCTGAGGGTGTTTACACCATCTCTGCAGCCAGCAGCTGCTCCTGTCCTGTAATTATTTCTGACAACTTTACACTTCAGGTAGCCACAGATAAACCTAATACTCAAATCAGCACAAACCTATTTAATAGCCTTCCTGCCTATTCCAGGGCTGCTATTCCTGCAACTGCACATACTTCAGGATGAAAAGCACAATTATTGTCCATCCACCCCAGGAAGTGGTATTTCCCATAGCTCTGGAGCTTTGCTTTAATCTAGATGCAGGCAGGGAAGCAGATGGAATAAAGGTCAAATGCTGGGAACTGGAAACGCCCAGCTCTACTGCCAGGACCCGTGGGCAGCCCCTGGAGCTGCCACCACCTTTCAGCTCCCGTCACAGTGAAAGCACAAGCACAAAATGGTACTTCCAGACCCTGCCAGCTGAGTGGCCGAGAATACCCAAAGCATGACCAAAAGCAGGATTACCCACTAGATGGAGTGCATTCATTGCAGAAGTCAACAGTTCCTCCAGAAAAAGAAAGTTTTCACAGTAGCCTCAACCAAAACCACAGCAGAATGCATGAAGCTCTTGCTGCACACGTCTCCTCTCCTCCACAGAACGTGTGGGCAGACAACTGCTGCTAATCACGAAGTAACTCATACTTAATAGTCAGACCAAATTACAAGAATGTGGTAGCATATGCACAACGTGGGCACATTTTCAAGAATCAGCACCAAAACCAACAAAGCAAGCAAGCTAATCCTGCAATAAAATATCTGTGACGCCCCTGGATTCAGAAACCAGCATTTCCTTCACCACCACTACCTACATTGTTTCTTGAGGAATTTGGGTTAGACATCAGGACCATGAGTGTGCAGCACCCATTGCTGCAGCAGGTAATGAGGGTGAGAGGCTGCTAAAATGCAAACATTCCCTTTTGTGCTTCTTTTATTGCAGAAGATTTTGTCAGCAATTTCTTTCCATGAGAAACACACACAAAATGCAAATATTCTGCCATTGCACTTTGCCTCCTTACTCACCCGAACTCAGTGAAACGCCTGCTTGAATTATAATTGGCTCCATAAAATGAATCATCGTATGGGTAAGCACATACCAGGCACAGATGCAAATCATGCAGACATTCAACAAATGGACTTACATTTTCTTTCGAAAATGATCTGGTGAAGCACAGGTACCGTGTGACCTTGGATTTAAACAAGCCATCTTTCCACAGGTCAGCATCCAAGCCATCTGCTGTTTGTGCAACCTGCAAAGGAGAGAGAGAGGAAGAGAGGAGACATGTGAGCCAAGATAAAGTTAATACATGTGCAGTACTTCTTCCTCAGACCTCTCCTAATTAACAGCAGCCCAAACTTTAACAGCATCTCATTAGTTTCTTCACAAGGTGCAGTGGAAAGAACTTTCAAGAGGAGGTATAAAAAGAAGTTCTAAAAATGCTGTCTCTCAGGAGACCCTTGATTAAAGATGCTCTGACAAAAGCTACTCTAATGAGGAAAGTGCAACTTCAGTTACAGTCTCCAAACAATAGTTTGGAGAAGTCAGCACATTGAGGCATTCATTACCACCCTACACACAAGGGCACACCGGGCGTGCTGTGAGGCTCCCTGGAGACAGAGCACAGAAACTGACCCATCTCAGGACTATTTTCATGGAAAGCCATCAAGGAATTCTGGCTCCCAGGTCAAAAAGCTGCTTTCAAGCAGGTTGGGGAATCCCTGTCACTGGTGGATTTTAGCAGCAGTGCTGCATGCGAGGACACACCCCACAAACATCCCTCTCCAATGCAACCCCACATCCAGCCAAACTGATAGCACACGATGGTGCTGGGTGAGGAAACAGACCCTGGACGCTCCACAGGAGAGACAGCAAGATGTGCAGGAGAAAATCTCACTTCCAGCTGATTCCAGGAGTGGGCAGGAGGAAGCACCATGCACTGGGGAAGGGCTCTACTCTCAGCAGCTGAGCACTCACCACACACAGCAAGCTGCTAAGAGCCCTGGCCCCAAAATGTTTGTTGTCGAGTAAGAGAGGAGGCAAGAGGCAAACACAAGGATAAAGGACAGAAGAAACAAGACTACCCCATCAGACTAACACCCAACTGGCGTCTCCAACAGGAGACTCCAGCATGGTCTGAAGCTCCACAGAAGCTGAACTTCTGCCTAATGCCTCTCTCATGGGGCAAACTGCTCCAGGCAGCTCTGGTAATCACACCGAGCGAGCCCTTGGCCCCGGAGCAGCCTGGTAACAAAGAGCTGGCACTTGTCACCTTTGCACCCATGTTAGCTGAGCAGAGACTGCACTGGGCACAGGAAGCAAGAGCTGTGTGCTGACAAGGCCTCCAATCACCCCGAGTGCAGCAGATAGACAAGAGACAGTCTGATCAGAGCAGCCAAGTGCACTGACTGCTCCCTGAATTTTGGCAACTGCTGCTCAGAAGCCCCAGCTCAGGTCAAGCCATTGTACAGCACACACAGCTTTTGTGTTCAGGCTCCGCAAAGAAACAAGCCTGATTTTTCAACAGCCACATTTCAGAATAGAATTTCAGCAAAATTTTTTTCTTCTCTGAATTCAAGTATTTCCTGAGCTGTTAGTTTAGGAATACGTAAAATCTACATGCATCTTCCTCTGTGACGGGTAAGTCAGTCCTGGTGCAAAGATATCCAGGAAACAGTCTGTTTGGGAAAACTGCTGGCATGTAGGGATGGTCAGCTTGAACTCCAAGCCAGGAGAATGGCAGCATGAATGAACTTGTCAGAAAACTCACGGGAAAGAAAACAGAGCCGTATAAACAGGAAACTTCTTGCATCACCTGCTGGGCTCCTGCAAGCAAGGAGAAGCCCCAGCAAATCTCAAAGCAGAGCTGTGCCTGATCAGCATGCTCCCAGGACAGGAGCCAAGTGGGAAAGGCCACAGCAGACCTGGCCAGCAGGACAGGCACTCCGGAGCCCCAGCTTGCCCAGCCTTTCCTTGGCTGAGAGGCAAGGAATGTGTGAGACAGAGGATCTGGCACCTGGCACTGAACACACGGGCACATGGGCACAAGGCATGGTGCTTCTCCTCGTGAGGCTGGGGGAGACGCTCCTCACTGTGTGCTACAAACAAGGGACCTGACAGAGTGACCCCCAGCACACACAGGGTGTGCTGCACAGCACTCAGGCCTTTGGGAAGCAGGTCCTTTAATCCCCTGCCCCACAGGGTGATCTGCCCCTCTGGCAAAGTCAAGGCTGCTCCTGCTGGGTCTGCAGCTTGCTCAGGCACTGCCCCAGAGCAAACCCCACCACGCAGCTGGTGCTCAGCCTGCAGCAAAGAACACAGCTGCACAGGAACCACACATCCCTCCTGTCCCAGGCTCCTGCCTCCCACCTCTCCTCCCCACCCAGACACTCAGTCTTGCCAGTTTGGTTGGATTTTCAGGAATCTAAGTTCAGACAATGTATATTTTGGCCAAATCAAGTCTTTGGTGCTTTAGCTGTGAAAAGGCCTGTCTCATCAGTGTGGCACCTGGCATGGCCCCTCGTCAGCAGGTGCTGCACAGGGGACAGCACACCAAGGGTGGCTGGCAGCACCAGGCACACTGCTGAGGTGGAAAGCTGACGTGAGGGGGGAAAGCAGCCGTGCTGGGGAAGGACAGCAGACAGCAGGCACTGCCCCACGCCCGCTCCAAGGGCAGACAGTGCTCCCTGTGAGCAGACAGGGAGGCAGCAGAGCCAGAGCAAAGGCAGCTCCTCGCTGAGCCCTGAGGAGACAGCGACCCACATCCACCAGCATTACACCACCACCATAATTGGATTACGCCACAGGAAGACTCTTTTATCTTGTTTAGTTTAAACTGCGCTAGCGCTGCAGCTCCCCATTAAGCCACAGGCAGGCTATCTGGGGTGAGTGTGCTCTCTGCCCAGCCACTTAGGCAAAATGCAATTCTGTTATCAGAAGTCTCACACTGTCCCGTGCTTCTTTATCAGGGCAAGCAGCTAATTACACAGCCTGGCTCACACAGGTAATGAGCACTCGGAAAAACACAGTAAATGTAAAAACCTCCCAGGTCTTTAAGGAGCCTTTTCACAATGCCCCCCTTGTGTCCTTACTTCAGCCTGATCCATTTTGCTTCTCCACACAGAACAAGGTATGAAATCATCCAGAGCTGAAGAGGCGTGAGCAAAGCCTCAAGTCAGCTGGCTTCCACTCCTACCACACAAGCTGTGGGCTCTGGAAACTCAAGGTGTGACGTAGCACAGTTGGAACAGATGAACTACAGACCAAATCTTTCTCTATAGATCTCTGCAAGGTCAGTATTTTATATTTCACAGTTTGGGACACTGATCTATGAGTAGGAACATCCTGCAGTTGGTTACACAGCAACTAATCCAAGGAACAAGCAGCTGTTGAACAGCGACCTCCCTTTATCTGTTCACACATTCATCTATGCTGTATCCTGCTGCCTTTTCCTGCTGCCAGTCTCCTGCCAAATCTTAGTTCAGAGGTTTGCATTCTGCCTGTCAAAATCATCCTTGCAATTTCAGCTGGATGCAAAATTCTTTTGATTCCCTTTCTGGAGCTTCTCATCATCACTGTGCAGTGCTGATAATGTGGGATTAAACAGCTGATGTGGGATCCATTCACTTAGAGATATAATTTGTACAATACTTAGAACTCCTTCAGGATGAATGTTACTAGGATTATTAAATTTGCTTGCCACAGTGGCCAGCTGTTTCAGCAAACCCCTCCTCCAGGAAATGAAGCTCCTGTGGAGTGGCAAAGATGAAGTGGCACATTTGCAGCCACAACCCTCTGCTGAAGGAAAGCACTAAGAGCTGTGGGCTGAAAGGTGGGCAGCTGACTACCAAATGACTGCTGACAGCACAGTTCCAAGGCACGTTCCCTGGAAGAGAGGCTGCTCCCAACACAGTAAAGCCTCACGAGTGCAGAAGCACAGCATGGACTGCAGCAGCTCAGACAGCTCTACTTACAACATCATATCCCGTGGGCGCTCGGCTGCGGGACGCCAGCACGCCGACGCCGGTGATGGGATCCATGGGCAGCTCGGGCAGCGCCTCCGTGAGGTCCCGCACCTCAGGCATTATGGACTGATCCTGCAAGAAAGCAGCACAATTAAAGGGCTGCTGGGCACCACACCCCAGCAGAAGCCAGAGAACCAAGAGCACACATGCATGCCACAGTGCCTGTGCTGACACACCACAGACGGCCAAGGTAAACACAGGATTAGGCCAGACACACCTTCTGCACTTTCATTTGCTTTTGATAAGAGGGTATACTTGTGCAATGCCAAATAGGTTTGAAATTTGGGCTGGCAGCCTCTGAGACTCATTTTGTTGCTTCCATGGGCTGGTCTCCATCTAGCAATGACAGGAAAACCAAAGCTCAATCCCTTCTCTTCCAAAAAGAGAACAAATTTCACCGCAAGTCAGGCTGGTTGAAGCAGCTCTGTCATTTTAAACAGCAAGAAATCTGCTCCTAGTGGCTTTAGGGGGAGGTTCCCCATTAACTGTGGGTGTTAAGACATGCTGGGGGTTGCCCCATGAGCCCTCAGTCCCATCACACCCCTGTCAGCCAGACTGATTTCAAGGAGCAGCACAGATGTCTCTGGCGCTGGAAGCGCACTGGCTGCAGGGAGCCTCAACACCAGGGAACACAGAGGAAGCACAGGGTGGGCTGGCACAAAGCAGAGAGGCCTTGAGGAGGCCCGAGCATCTTCCAGAAGAGACACATCACCGAGAACGTCAAGGGAGGGAGATATGCAGAAAGGACAGAAGCAGGTAAGACCAACTACTTTCCAAGGGATGCTGCTGCAGGAAGCAGGAGGAGAGGACAAGAAAGGGGCTGAAACAACCGAGGTGAAGGATGGGGAAAGGTGCCACTGCCTCAGCGTGTGGTCTCCTGCAGAGGCAGCCAGCTAAAGCAAGTCTTCTCTGGCTTTCAGGCAGGAGTGCCCCAGGAAATCGCCCCCCACGCACCCCAAGACAAAGGGCAGTGCTTTGTGTAAACAAGCATCACTGCTGCACAGGCAGACAAGCCGTGAACCAGAGCTGCCTAATTCAATTCCCTCCTCAGAGCAATCAAACCCCAGCATTTCTAGGCCATTTAGATGGCTGGTTACTTACTGCTTCTAGAAAAGGCAGAGGTGAGTACTGGTGCCAGTGGAATTGGGTTTACACTTCACAATGCCCAGTCTGAACAAACATCGTGCTGCAGACAATAAAAAAGAGCAAGTCTGGGCCCTAAGTAAACAATAATAATGTCACATGAACAGCCAGACTACTTGAGGAGTCCAAAACAGGTGCTAGTGACCAGCAGTGGTGCAAACACCGTTGCTGATGAACCAAACAGGAGAGAGCTCTGCTTTAGCACCGGTGTGCTGGACACGCATCCAGCACACAGAGCAAAGCAAACCTGCTTCGCTCCCAAAGCTGCTCAAACCTTCGAGCATGATGGCAAGCGCAGCCTGAGCCCCAGGGGCTGCCCCTCCTCTCCCAGCAGGCTCCGTGCTCAGGGTGGGCGAGCAGCACGGGACCTTGCAGCAGGAATGCTGGAGGCACTGGCACAGCTATGACAGACCCTGTGCCAATGCTTGTGCCACCCCACAGCTCATCCAGAGGGCTCGCAAATAATGCAGAACCTCAAACATACAGCATGGAAGAAACATAATGTGAATTTAACAAAGAGCTTACAATCTGGTCTTCATGAACGTTTTCTGAAACTTCTTCAAGTCACTCAACAGTGCGGTGAGTTCTTACTACACATTGGGAGGAGCTGGGAGGTAATGAATGCTGACGTAAGCTTCTCTTAGGCCATTCTGAACCGAAATCCAGGTAAGTGATGATATTCCCCAGCGTGTTAAGAACACCACCTGGCAGGTTCCCACCCAGCTGCAGCGGCACTGCGGGGAAGCAGATCTGCTCACGCGGTGCCTCCCTCCACCAAACGCGCCCCGATGAAGCGGCTGCTGCTGAGCACTGCCCAGGCCCCGTCCCTCCACGCTGGGGCCTGCTGCAGGGAGGCCCAGCTGCCCCAGCAGGAACCTGAGCAGCTGCCAGCTCAGCCTGGGCAAGGCTGAGGACGAGGGGGTCCCCGGCACGAGCACGGGAGGGGTGGGCGCTCCAACCCGCAGTGTGGTGCCTCCCCCTCCTGCTGGCACCCTGTCCTCAGCCAAGGAAGAAGGGCACCTTTGTGGGAGCCATGTGCTCGCAGGGCAGGGGGAGGGGACGCGGCATCAATCCTCACTTTGTGCCGGCGCGCACAAAGCCCCTCTATGGCGCGGGGCCGTCCGTCTGTCCACGGGGTAATGCGGCGCAGCGCGGGCGTGGGGCCCCGAGCAGACCTGCTGCAGCCAGGGCACCCACTGCCCGTGCCCAGCGAGCCCAGCACCCTCCTCTGCCCCGTGCCTGCAGCCCACAGGCATGGCAGGCAGAGCTCCTGCCCGGCAAGCAACCTGCCGTGGCCACTGCAGCACGGCCAGGCCACACCAGGCAGCCGCCCTGGGCAGCTGCCTGCTGTGCAGGAGGCACTGAGGATGCATCTGCAGCAGATATGGAGCAGCAGAAGTCAGCTGCACACTGGGATAAATGTTTTTGTGAACTCTGCACAGGTCAGAGGGGAGTCTCTGGCTGGGCAATCACGCAGATGATTAGTTACACTGCACTTCTCCGAAGGAGCGTCAACAAAGTTTGGATTCTCTTCTATTGCGCCTTTTAACTTAAAAATGAAAAAATAAACAGTCAAAGAGGAGATTAAATTAAGGACAGGATTCTATAAACGCCTCTATTAGGCAGCTTGTTATTTTAATTCTCTTTAGCAACGTGAGTTTGACCCGCATGCCCACCTACCGTCACAGTGGCCGAGCACTCAGCCCAGGATATGGCCCTCAGCATCCTGCAGCAAGCTGCCTGTGCCCTCCCACTCACTGCAGGGCTATTCCGGGAACAGGCCAGAACAATGAGAAGAACATTTTTCCCTTTAGCTGGCAGCATGCTCCCTGGAGGCTGTTCTCAGCTGTGGGGCCGCATCCAGTCCCCAGCACACCCAGCAGCCAAAGGAAGCCGGATGTGAGCTCTGGGGCAGGAAGCAGCTCCAGAACACTGTGGGGCTGCCCAGACAAAGCCAGTGGGGAAAGAATGTGTCTCTGACGAGAAAGTCCCTGTGCATCCTGGCAGCACCAGCCCAAGCAGCACGCAGCAGAGCAGGGTGGGATGGTTGCAGGACAAGACGGACAGGATGCACTCTTGGGACAAGCAGCCACCATGCTGCTGGCTCTACCCCAAATGCTTCCCAGCCCTCGAACCAGACTGCCTCAAGGCAGGAGGCATGGTGTCCCCGGGATCCTGATGCCCAGCTGCAGCACAGGCCTTCTGGGACTCCACTGGCTTCTGGCACAGCCTCCTTCCCACAACCCCTGCCCACAGTCACACACACCTCCCTGTCTGCCAGCACTGCCAAGCTGGTCTGTTTATAGCCTTTTTGCTTGTTCTCTCCATTTCCTTGTTAGCTCATCCGCCTTTATTAGTTTATCCTAGGCATACTTTTCTGCTGGCTCCGCTGAGGTGACTGACCACACACATGGCTGGGCTCTGCCTGGGACACATATACAGCAGAAGAACCCACTTTCAGAAATGAATGCATTACTGTGAGTTTCTACACCATTTTCTGCTCTCAGTGTTCCTTTCCAACAAGTCCAGCAAGTTCAAGAGCTGGTGGGTACATGACCAGATCAGGCCTTTCAATGTGTTTGCTACAGAAACATCATGCTGCCAGCAAAGCGGGTCAAGCTCTGAAGTTAAATAGCCGGAGTTAAATAGATGGAGAATGGTGTTATTGTTTCTTCCTCCAACTACAAGCCCTGCACTTTGACACTGCCTTGCTCTTCCCACAGGCAGAAAAGTATGAGCTAAGGCAAAACTGGAAAAAAAACCCAACTACCTCACTGCATCCCTGCAGTCTGCAGGAAATGGTGCCACAAACCAAGCAGGCTCGAAGCCTGTCCTCCATCCCTGCAGGAAGGCACTGCTGGCACAGCGCTCCGCAGCCACGCCGCCGCAGCTCTCCCCACGCCAGCCTGCTATTTCTGCTCATGGAACATCATCGTCTCCATCAGAAAAACAGGAACCCGCAGCGGCAGTCAGCACGCGGCCTTGGAGGCCACCATCACAAACAGGAAGGACTGCAGTTTCACGTTTCACCACCATGGAAGGCATGCCTGGAATCACCCCGGCATACAGGCTCCCTTGGGAGGCAGCTGCCCTGCACCAGCTGCAAAATCTACACTTTGTGACTGAATGGGATGGAAACAGGAACTTGTGAGCAAAATCGAGACCCTGCATTGCTTCACAGCACTTCTAACTATGGACAGACATTTCTGAAGTGTCCTGCTTCGAACCAGAACAGGTTCCCACACACGCATGACCTTGCACAGGGCAGCAAAACTGAAATGACACTCAGTTCAGTTGGCAGAGGTATGAAGAGGTCCCTGGGGCTACCAGCACCCTTAAGCCTGGGACTGGCTTTGCCAGAGATGCACAAGAGTGGTACCAGAGTGAGATGTTGTCTGTTTTATCTCATACCTCCAGAAGTCAAGCCGTGCCTTCGTCTAGAAGGGAAGGTCATCTCAGCTAAAAATTATAGGGATGATGCTGCCAACCTGCTGCACAACACAGACTCCCTTAAAGAACAGATGAGCACATTCCCACTCAGTTAAAATAAAATACAAAATGGAGAAAGCCAAGCTTTAGCCCGAGCAGCTACACACCTGGTGATACCCGGCCTGTCTGGTTTCAGTGTTACTGTGACCAAGCTGAGAATGACCCAGCTCTGGGAACCTGCGGACAACACTGAAGATTGGTGGACCTTTGAAAACCGCTCCAGAAACCTCAGAGAAAGCGTGTAAGCCTCCGTGATGCAAGGCACGAGTACTTAAGACACAGGCAACTCTGTGTGGCCGCTCCAGCCAGGCTGCAAGAAGCCTGTGCCAGTGCCACACCTCCAGCCATGCACCGAGCACAGGTAAGAATCGGGCACGTAGGCCCATGCTACAAACAGAAGAAAAGACCACATGAAACAGAGGAGGATTTTGTTATTTCCTCTGCCCGTCATCAAGAAGAATTTACAGTAAATGCCGGAGCAGTTCAAGGTCACCGGGGCTGTACGCAAGGCTGGTACCCGAGGCCGCTCCTGCAGCCTCCCCAGCCTCGGAGGAGCCGCCGGGTCTCACGGAGGCCAGCGGGGCGCTCCAGCCCCGGCCCAGGCGCGAGGTCCCCGCGACGGCCGGCCCGACAGCCCCCGCCGCCGCCCCGGGCACCCGGCTCGGCCCCGTCACGGCCCGCGGGGCCCCGGGCCACACCTCGCCAGAACCTCCCTTCCTCGGGAACGGGGCAGTGCCCGGCCCGGCTCCCCGGCGCCTCCCGGCCCGCAGCAGACGGGAGGTGCCAGGTGGAAATGGCCGAACGGTTGTGATTTGGACAATGTCACCTGCTTCCTTCTGAAACCGGCTGCGTCCAGAAGATGGGCAGCCGCTGCTGTGGGCTGAGGAAGGGCGAATGGTGTCAAACAAGCTGGTTATCTTCTCAAGAATCCCTGGGGTTGGGAGGGATGAGCGGTTTCGGGACCTACCTTCAATTCATTAAGATATTTGATGCTCTGTCTCACTATGGCCTGGAAAACAAAGATATGGTCCAAAGGAGTCAGGGTTTGCCCGGGTTTGGCTGAGTGACCAGCAGCCTTCGTGTCCGCTCACGGCACAGCAAACACCCAGAGCAGAGGGTCTGCAAAGGTCTGGTTCTGCTCAGCCTCAACACGTGCCAGTGCTGAAAGTGACACCACGCTCATTGAAATTGGCGGATGTGAATCGCAGCGCATCGTGGCACTGCAGCAGGGCCCATGGCATCATTACATGAACCAGTCCCGCAGCTGTCCTGCACTGCCTTTTGAGCGCCTTACCTGAGGCAAGGTCATCATATGTCCCAAACATAATATATGCCCCATCGTCTGGAGAGCAGCAAGAGGGGTGTGGGGCTGACATCAGCAGCCTTCGGTGCAAGACCGAGAGCTGGAGCTGCTAATCTAAAGCAAAAGAAAAAAGCCCTGGGGTGAAGAAATAAGGGAGGGAAAGAAACACGTTAATGTGTATGTGAATTAAAGCGAAGGGCAGGAACTGTTCCCCTTTGTGAGAGGCTGAGAAGTGATGCGTGTGAAGTGCAGCAAGAGATTCTGTGAAGATAACAGTGAAAACTACAATACCAAAGAGTTAACAACAGCTTGGAGAATTTTTGTTAATGGTCAAGTCGCAAGCCATCCCGAAAGCTCTTATCAGACATTATTCAGTCATTCCCTCGGAGCAGATGGTCTCCCCCATCCTTTTAGATCTGGTTGACTCTATTTTCCATGACGCCAGAGTTTTCTTTGTGCGGGGAACACGGCCTTTGTGACTTAGAAGAGAAGGATCTCACTCAGACACCCAAATTTCCTCCCTTTGATTAAATGGGGTCTCCCGTGGCAGGGTGGTGCATTTATCAGAGGGTCCGTCTCCATGGTCACAGGGTGTTTCCTTGTCTGATATTCTGCCTTTAACTAAAATACTAATTCCCCTCCCCTCCCCCTCCCCTTTTTTTCTTTTTCTTTCCCTCCCCCGTTGTCTTTTTTCTTGATTTGGCTATCTTTTGGGGAGTTCTGTTCAGCCTGCTCTTTTCTCACCTAGATAACGGTTTGTGCCTTCCCTCCTGTTCGGAGTGTCTCTGCGTGGCTTTAGCCAGCCTGAGCCGAGCCGAGCGGGAGTGGCTGAGCCCACAGCCCTTCTCTTTCCTTTCCTGGGTGTCTGCAGCTGGTTTTGCACCTCTCTGGCTCTCTCTGAGGTGGACAGGAGCTCGCTGAGCAGCGTTTCCCCTGGCCCAGCCGCGACTGGCAGTCGGTGCTGATGTGCCTGCGGGGCTGAGGACCAGGGCAGCTCTTGGGTTTGATCCTCGGGGCTGTTTCAGCTCCTTGCTCTTCACCCTGCTGTGGTCAGACTTCCTACCAAGCAAAACACCACGAGCTGTGATTAGTCAGTGTTTGAGAGGTTTGTTTGGAAGGCAACGTACGCATTAGTGGTTTTGTGTTCCTGTCCGTAAAGCAAACAACAGAAAGTGGAGTCCTGCTCCATCCTGGACACAATCCTGGGCTGGGACAAGCCTTCCTCCTGTCCTGGCTGGCGCTTCTCTCCAGTAAAGCATTTTAGCCTGGTGCTGAACCATGCTGTAGGAGTTTTGAACAGCGTTCCCTCCCTGTTTGACCAAGGCTCTCTGGCTCTTACTGAATACAGCCCTGATGGCTCTAAGTGGCTTCTGCATCCAAAGATTTAAAAAGATAAATATATATATTTTGAGCGATAAGGAATACAATGCTTTTTTTTTTTTTATTTGGAGAGTAATTTAGAGAGGAGAAAAGATGATGCCTGGTGGAAATGAGAAATATATGTCCCATACATAATATATACCCCAAATGTCCTATTACAAATACAAGAAGATTTCCTGAACTGGAGAAGTTGTTACACATTACAGTGTGCTAATGCTCCCCCATGGAGATGCTGATACTGAGAGAGTCTTTAGTGTAATAATATTAAAAATCCGAGAGTTTCAATAAGATCCTCCCTGCTACCATGGTGGTAGGAAATGAATTGATTCCAAAGGAAGACTCTAATTGCTGCTTAGTATCCACAAAATATTCAAAGATTCACTGCAAGCATATATCCCAGTGTGTCTGTGGCATGATCTGCAATAACGTGTTTTGCAGAGAGAGCCACTTCCAGCAGGGCTTGGCTGCTGCCCCCGGAGTGACTGCAGCTGGACAGCAGCACAGCCCAGGCAGAGCTGGCACCTCTGCCCGCGGGCACCTTCAAACCTGGGAGCTTTGGTGCCTGGGAAGAGCCCTGTTGTTCTCTTCCTCGGGCACTGCACGGGCTCTGAATCAGCAAATACTGGGTGCTGGGTGCATGAATCACAGCTGCACTGGAGCTGGTTAATCTATCTGTGTAAAGTTACTCAAAAGCATAAATATTTGCAAGTATAATGCTTTCCTATGAATATTTTACATCCATCTTTTTCAAGATCCATTTATTTACTCCTCTTTATTTCAGAACATGTCTTTTCTCACGAGTTCTGCAGTCCTGTGCGTGCTGTCCAGTTCATACCAGCGTCGTCTTTTCAGGACACCTAATGGGGGGGATTTTGGTCAGTCTTGGCTCCGATACTGATGCTGAACAAACATTCATCCCTGGGTGGATGGCTGCCAGAGCTCAGATCTTGCAGAACACTGTTCCAAAGACTCGTGCAGGCAAGCTGGGGCTGTCAGCTCTTGGGATGTGCTCCGTCCGTGCCACCCTGCCCCGGAGCTGAATCTCTTTAATAAAGGCATTAAAAAGGAGAAAGATCTCCTGCCCATTTATTTCAATCTTTACGTTTTGTAAAGATTTCAAGCATTTTGTAACAGCAAAATCTGTGCCCAGATACCACCTCTGAAGAAAATAACAGTGCACAGGGCTCTACACCTTCAGCTGAGAACAGGCAACATACAGAGTCCTGTGGCTAGCCCAAGGGCACTGGCCCAGTGCTGCTGCCCACGCTTCTCCCAAGGGCAGCAGGAGCTGCCAGCCAGCCCTGGTCAGACCTCACCATCAGAAAGGATCCCAGTTTGCAGGGGGAAACAAGCTGTAAAGGATCCTGCATCTGCATCCTGCCTGTAAGCTAAAGTCCTTTAAAATTCTTTGTGCTGCAGGAATTAATCTCTCCATAGCCACATTTAGCACAGCAGTGCAATAGTGCTGCACATTCCATGTTCTCCATGTTTGTCTTTGGAGGAAAATCAGCCCAGAGTTTCATTTCATGCTGGAGTTGCTGCAGGTCACAGCTCAGCTGCTGCCTGGTTTTAAGGTTTCTTGAAGGTAGGATTAACCTGCTGCCTCTGATTTGGTGCACCAAAATATCTCTTTGCAGTCACAACTTCCCTTCTATATTTCTAGTTTGCACCTTGATTATTCTAAAAAAAGTGAGGAGGTCCTAATCCCTTTAACTCAGACACCCACTCTGAAACAGACAAAGCAATTCTGAAAAAGCAGTTTCTTGATCTATTTCCTATTAACTTTCCTGTCCCATAGTTGTTACTAAGCACTAGATAAGTTGTCACATATGTGTTTCAGTTGTGATGTACAGGACACCAGTGTACAGCAATCCTACCAGAGATAACTCATTTATGCAGCACCCAGTGGTGCCTTTGGCCAGGACAGGGGTTCAGGGCATCCCTCACCTGCAGGATGGTCCAGGAGGAGAGACTGTCACCAGCAGCCTCCACCACAACGGGAGCAGGGCCCACGGCACCCCGTGACCTGCCAGGGGGCACAGGCACTGGCACTGTTCAGTGGTACAGGGATGAAATCTGGCCTTGTAGTTCTGTTTCAAGGCCCCACAGCCAGGACCAGCCCTGTTTGTTCTGTGCAGACACCCTGGGACTAAACATGACTGCTGTTCCACCAAATGGAGGGCAGAGAGAACGCCGTGTGGCTAATTACCAAGGAGAGCCACGCATCCAGATCCTCAGATTATGAGTAATGGCCACGGCACGATGGAAACCTCTGCTTGAACAATTTTGAATGATGAACACATTTGAGGAAATAATGTTTTCTTTGCAGGCCTCCTCTGATGAAATGCTACTGCTTGCTTTGCTTTCCCACCCGGGGTGGGTGCTGTCCCCACAGCCACCCGCTGCTCGCTGCCTGTCCTTGGCCTTCCCTGTGGGTACCTGCAGGGAAACCCGCGGCGTGGCTGTCAGGGCTGCAAAGCTGCTGTCCCAGGAGCAGGCTGGCAGCAGACAGCATTCCAGTGCTGGGTGTTTGCACAGAGGAATGCCAGGGAGTCAGTTAATAGGTGACCACTTGGCAGTGGTCCTGGGAAGTTTGTCACAGCTCAGCTGCCTCTGTAGGGCTTTGTTTGGGTACAGCCCCTTCTCCATTTAGCTGTGCATGACCCCCCCTCCCTCCCCCTCCTGAAAGCAGGGCCACAGGCAGCACCCCTTGTTCCTCTTAAACCGAAAGAAGTAATTCACACACTGGTTAAACTGCAGCAGGCAGGGATTTTGCACCCCTGTCTAGCCCCAAGCTGTCCCCCTGTGTGACAGCACCAGGGAATGCCAGGGGCCCCATCCCCTCCGTCAAGAGCGCGTTGAGTCCCTCCACGGCAATTCCCAGGCCAGCTGGCATCTTTAGACATTGCTGTTTGGCTCCTTGGCTACTGCAGCTTGTGCATATTAGCACCCCAGCAAGCTTCCC